AACCAGCAGCCAAGTCCTGCAGTCTCCCTCCGCTGCTTTGAGCCCCGAATGCCAGGGCAGACCAGCTGACCGGAAGGGCTGTCGCATTTGACACTGGCGAGGAGGAAGCCCTGTGGGCTGGGCCGCGCACACACGCCCAGCACAGGGCGGATGACGAGGGGAGCACGAAGGGACAGAAGCCCAAGTCCAGACACTTGCTCCTACTGCTGGCCCCGGAGGCCTGGCCCTGGTCCCGGGGGTGCCCTGGACAGCTGTCCTTCTGCCCCACCACTTCCTCCCACAGAGACTGAGAATGGGTGGCCCCCACCCCATTCTGGGACCAGCACCCCAAGGACTGCACCCAGGGCATGAGCGAGATTCCTCCAGTCTCCAGGAGTCAAGAAGGGGGAGGGAGCTGTGGGGGCAACTCCAGGGGCCAGGCAGGTTCCCACCCATGGAGGCTGAGCAACCCACAAAAGTCAGGAAAATTCGTAGGAGAACCGAACTGAGCAGGGGGCACGGGGCAGCCCGACCCCTCAGCGAAGGGCTGGCGCAGCTGGGACAAAAGGGCCCGGCTTCCCTGCCGACAGATGGGAGTGTGGCGGCCCCCCCCATTTCTCAGGGGTATCGGAAGATTAATTAGTGACTGCCTGGAAAGGCTAGATGGGAGCCGAAATGCTTGTCCCCGCTGAGTTCTGAGCTGTAAATAAGCAGCTTTCTCAGTCACAACCGAAATAGCAATGTTGCCCTTTTATTGGACGCCGATCCCATTCGGCAGGCCGGCCCCCCAGAGCAGGCCTCGGGGGGCTGAGCCTGCCCCAGTCTCCGGCTGCCCTCGGACACAGGGTCTTCCCCGGACACAGGAGCTGGGCCCAAGCTGGGTCACAGCTGGTAGCGCCCGACACCCACTCGACTTTGGCTCCTGAGGGGGCACCGGGCCTGGGGGCCCCAGACCTGGTCTGGGCCCCCTACAGAGCCACTGGGCTGAGGGAGACCCACGCCCATCATCACAAGGGGTCTGAAAGTTGAAGCAGCTCCCGTGGGTCACTAGGGTCTAGCTCACTTGTTGGGGCTGGGGGGAGCCCGAGCCCCCGGCCCGTGGGAGGCAGCCGGAGGCAGGGGAGGCGCCTGAGGGACCCGGTTCTCCGAGAGCAGCCTCAGCGGGCTGTGTGGCTCTGGGCCAAGTCCCGGCCCTCTCTGGGCCTCAGTCTCCTCACTGCCGTCCAGGGCGGCCTTCCCAGCAGTGGACAGTAAATTGAGGGAAAGATGGGTCACCCAGAGTTCAGTGTGGGGCCGGGTGGGGTCAGCTGACAGCTGAGGAGCCTGTCCCTCACGAACTCCAGGAACAAGATAAGGGCCCGGCAGGGTGCCGCCTCCATAAGGCAGCAGCTCCCTCCCTCGCTCGCTGTTCCACAAATATTTATTAAGCAGGGACTCTGGAGCCAGGCTGCCCGGGTCGAGCCCGGCTGTGCCATCAACTGCGGTGACCTCGGGCGCCGGGCCTCAGTTTCCTCAGCTGTCAGCGGGCTAGACGGAGCCCCACCGCGAGAATTAAACCCACACCCGCTGGCGAGGAAGGAGCTGGGGAGAGGGGGCCACAGCGGCCATCCCTCCTTATCCTTTTAGTTTTTCTAATTGCCGGTATTTGTCTGGCACGGCGCGGGCATGAGGGAAACAGCCCGGGCCTGCGTGGCCTCCGTGGGTGGCGTGCAGGCGAGGGGTGGCCGGGCGGGTGGAGGAGGCCGAGTGTCCCTCGGCAGGTGTCACTGTCCCTCCCCCACCGCGCCCGTCAGACCGGAGTTCACGTCCTGGCGCGAGCACCAAGCCCGGCGAGTTTTCCCCAAATAGTTCCGCCTCGGTGGTGACGACTGTGCCCACGTGCTAAGAGCTTGCGTCTCCGTTCCCGCAAGGGTCCACTCACTCATTTAATCCTTTCCACCAAGTTGGCAACTCTCCCCACACAGGGCCAGATAATAAATATTTCAGCCTTGGCAGGCCTCATCGCCAAAACTCAACTTTGCTGTCGCAGCACCAAAGCCGGTAGACGAGACCGAAGAGACGGGCGGGCGCAGTGGCCTTCCAATAAATGTTTATTTACAAACATGGGAGGGGCCTCCCTGGAGGCGCAGCGGGTTAGAGCACAGCTCCGTGAAGCTGCCTGGCCGCTTGGGTGCAAGTTCGATCCCCGCCCCAGAGGTGACCCACTGGGCTCAGAGCCCTCTCCCGATTCCCCGGCTGCTCCCCTCAGCGGTGGGCTTCCCCAGTCGGCCTGTTCTGCTCCCCACTCTGTCTCTGGTGACTCCTCTCACCCCCGCACCTCTGGCCTGTACCCCAGCTCTGTATGCATCAATAAATAAACCTTAAAAAATAAATAAACAAGTAAGTAAATACAGGGAGAGGAAGATCCCAGCCCCTGGCTTCCACTAATCCCGAGGAAGATACTTTCACCGGCTCCATTTCACAAGCAGGAAAACTGAGGCGCAGAACTTACGGTCACCCACACACGGCACTGCCCAGCAGTGGGACGGGAAACGACTAGACCGCCTGGCTCCCAATGCCAGCAGAGCAGGACTGCCCCTGGGGAGGGCCCTGGTGCCCTGCCCTCGCAGACTCTGGGGACAGAGCCCGGGCCACAGGCCCCCAGGCGCCCCAGCTCCGGCTGTCACCTACAGCCGCAGAGGCCCACCTGCTCCGGCCTGGGCAGCAGCCAGTGCGTGTGCCCAGCACGGCAAATCACTGCGCTCCTGGGAGCCCCACTTTCCTCCCCTGTGAAATGGGCACATGGTGCCCAGGTGTGAGAGGGCTCCTGCAGAGGGCTGCAGGGGACCCACAGACGTCCAGGGAGCTGTCCAGGTAGTTACCGGCCGAAGGGCCTGCCACGGTGAGTCACAGGAGCAACCGCCCCCTGGACACTCTGGTTCCCAGCTAAAATTATAACACCGAACCCCAGGTGGAGGGAGAGGGGCTTAAGAAGGAAAAATGCAGTGGAGAGAAAGCTCTGCTGCAGGGCCCCCCCGCACCCCCACCCCGCACCCCGCCCCTGCACTCTGACCCCCGACCTGGGTGGCCCCAAGGACCTCACCCTCCTGCCCCAGGGCTTGACACCAGCCAGGACGGGTCTTCCTGCGCCGCCTCTTTCCTTCCGAGGCCCCCAGTGCAAACAGAAAACAGTCACCTGATGAACCAGGGTGCCGGCCACCGCCACCGATGGCAGGTGAACAGGGGTGTAGGTTACAAACACCTGTGCTCCAGCCGCCCTCTACTTAAGAACATTCATTTTGCCACAAACCGGCACTGAGCGTCTCCAGGGGCGCTCCGGGGTACGTGGGCAAGCACAGCAGAGACGGGAGGTGGCGCTGCCCCCCCCAGCAGCTGCCAGAGGGGCCAAGGCCAGGCCGCAGCAGCAGCCCCCCCCACCTCCCCAGGCGGCAGCTCCGGGCCCTGGGGGCTGGGCAGACACTGCGCTTTCACATCTGCCCAGGGCAGTGGACCCCCGAGGGCACCCGCCTTCCTAGGAGTCTGCATTTCAGGCAGTAGAGACCCTGACCAAGTGCAGCCCCTGACAAACACTGCTCTCCCGGGCAGCGGTGAAGGGCAGGCCCAGGGCCTGGAACAGCCAGAGACACCAGGGGAGCAGGCCAACACCTCCCACACGCCTGGGTCCTGGGTCCTCCCTGCCTCTCCCCTGCTCGACACCCCCCCCCAGCAACTCTGAAAACGGCTGCCCAGGGCAGGGCAGCCAGGGCCAGAGCCTGCAGCTGGGGTGCCGCCCGGCCCCTGCTGCCCAGGCTCCACCCCGGCGCCCAGGGGCGCCCAGGGACCGGAGGCCTCGGCAGAAGTGACAGCGGCGTCCGGGCTGGAAGGAAAAACCAAAACCGACAGCCTGCACCCCGCTCTCAGCAGAGCACTTTAGAAACCAGCCTGTGGGACAGACGCTTCCTCACTCCGGCCCCAGCCGCACCCCAGGCCCCCTGCTCCCAGACCTGCGGACGCCCCAACTTCCATAGGAACTGTGTCAGTGCCGGGGAAGGTAAACTTTCAAAGGAAGGGCAAATAAAAACAACTCATTCCTAGAACAAGCGGTCACGGCAGACCTGCCTTCCTGACCCGCGGGTCACGTGGCCCTGGGGCAGGCGGGCCTGTCGCTCCCACCCAGGGGGCCCCAGGCGGCCCCAGGCGGCCGGCGCCTCCCGGCACCCAGGCCCGGAGTCCCTGGCGGCCAGCTTCCGTTTACCCACACGTAATGCTGTTCAAAGTCCAAATAAAGTGAACTCGAGAGGGGCTCCCCAAACCTCCCGCTGTCACCCCCTCCCTTCCGAGCCGCCAGCGCCACTCGCCCGAAACAGAAAGTTGCAGGGCCGGCGGCCGCCAGCCAGCAGGGAGGCTGAGGACACAGGAAGCCCCGCCAGCTCCCCCCGCCCCCCCGCTCCCCGGCCCCCTCCCCCGACCTCGGCAGGAACAAAACCTTCCAGG